ATATATATATGTGTGTGTGTGTGTGTGTGTGTAAATTTTTGATATTTAATATATATAATAAAATTATAGAAAATAATATATATAATAAAAATATTATAATTCTTAAATTTTTAAATATCAACTAAAAATATTTTTATATATAATTTTTTATTTTTATAAAATATTTTTTCTCAAAATCGAGTTCGAACCGAGCCGAGCTCGAGCTTATAAATTTTTTACTCGAGCCAAGCTTGAGCTCAAGGTTCTGGCTCGAACCGAGCTCGAGCCTGGTMCTATTCGGCTTGGCTCGGATCGAATCCACCCCTAATTAGGTTTCTTTTTATTAGTTTCCTTTTGTTATTCTGCCACGAAAGTATTTGTTTCCTACTAGGAGTCTATTTCTTTATTAATATAAATCCTTCGTTGTAGTGAATTATGGCATTGCTTCAATACAGAACTTCCGTTGTTTACCTCTGTTTCCGGGTTTAATTCCCTGAATTGCTTTCCTTGTAACTATAAGGGTTCATTAGTTAGTACAAGAATTCTCTTGGAAAAGAATTCTTGATTGTCCATCTCTTTTCTTTTTTCTCCTTTTCATCCTCTATATTGATAAAATAKAAGGGAAGAACGAAGAATCTTCGAGTCCGATGAAGAGAACAATGACTCAAGTCACTCTCCACCATATCTCCAGTTACAAATCCTTTATTGCATTTAGCCCTGTCAGTCTTTGAGAATGAAAATATGTATTTTTTGAGAGAATCTTTTTATTGGCTTGATTATTTTCTGTAATAAAAACTGGAAACATTTTCACTTTATTTTAAGTAATACATATTTAACAGCGTATTCTTGTTTTTAGCTGATGTGCCGTTTTTTATAAAAAGAAAAAAAATAAAAGTTTTTTTTTTTTGCCAAATATGTATGTATCCCCAAAAACGTTTAATCTTGAAGAATACCCTTATTTTCTGACTATTTAAAAATGATCCACCTGGTGAATATATTCCCTGCAATTCAATTTTTATTAAAGATCTCTAAGATAATGCTTCAAATTGAATCTTGGGATTCAAAATATCGGTATTATGTATTGTACTGATAAGGCTTAAATATGAATATATATTAAGATGATTTTGGACATACATGGATATGGTGGAAAGATATGGACATATTAGGATGGAGAAGTTCTTCCAAATATCATAAATACATCAATAACACTAAATCCAACATGGAAATAACCATGACTAAGATACAATCATATAATAAATGCATAATTTAATGATTTATATGAAGAGATACATCACAATCAATAATATTAGGAATTCAGAACATGTAGATGTCATATAACAACTTTACTAATAATATTTCTAATCTACAAAAAACAAAAATCATTGAATGGCACATTAAGGGGGTGTTCTACAATGTGAATTGTTTTTCTTGTTGGTTTCAAAAATAAATCAAAACCATATGATTTGAAAATATATTGTTTCTCAAAACAAAAACACAAAGAACATGTTCTTCATTATATACATGTTTTTTGTTTTTAAGATTGAAATAGAAAAATATTTCAAAAATATGTTTTCATCTGGTCATTTAATATCATGTTTTATAAAGTATATAATTTCTACATTAGAAAAATTATTTTTGTTTTAAAAACCATTATTTTAATGTTCCAAAAATATGTCTTTTTGTTTGAAAAAAAAACCAATTTATTATTCTCTTTGTAAACAAAAACAAAGTTCAAGAACATGTTTTTGTTTTTATGTTGATGTGGTGATTCCAAAAATGAATGAAAGCGAAGGCATTCATGTTGTAGAACGCCTCCTAATTGTTGTTTTCCCAATGTTTGATAGATCATCCATTCTTTTCCTACGATGAAAATCATCTAAACATACAAAACATATGCTTTATAATTTTGGATTTTTTAAAATTTGTTGAGAAAAGTTCATGGTTCTAACAAATTTAATCCCTATTATAATTGGATATACATCAATGATCTAAACTGCTAAGAAGGCCCATAAAACTATCAAGAAGTTTGAATGAATATTAAATGATAATTTATTGACCTACTTTGATAGTCAAAAACTTTTAGCCGTAGTCATGACAGTCACCATAGATCCATTAATACTTAAATGAGTATGACCTTCATGCCATTTTCCCCGTACCACATTCTCATAACTTCGAATACTGATATGATGCACCCTTTAGGATTATAAAGATGTTAAGTATTTGCATTTGTATTTGTTGGACTGTACAACAAACAAGGTTCAAAGTAGGTTAGCTATGTTAACTGGTATATTAATTGGCTCTCTAGCATACATGTAGATTCGATTCCCATAACCACTAACTAATACCAAAAATAAGTATATTGTACAAGGTCAGTGATACATTTTAATTTAAAAATTTTAGTGTTTCAAATAATATTATATGATGTGACAGCTTGACTGTCAGTCTCCTATCAAGCACTAAAAAAAATTAGGAAAAATATAAAAATCTCCCTTAAAGTTTCTGATAACCATAAAAACTTCCTCTATAGTTTTATTTTTACAAATACTTCCCATGAACGCTTGATAAATTCAATAAAAACCTTCCTTTTGTCACCTTCCTAGACGGAAAACATTAAATTGATGCATCGGTTTTTTCAAATACCCATTCTACCCTTTTACAAATTATTTTACATACAAAATTATTGAAATAACCCTGTTAATTCGACAAAAAACATTAGAAGATAACCACTAAAGGAGGTTTTTGTCAAATTAAAATAGGGTTATTTCAGTAATTTTGTATGTCAAGTAATTTATAAAAGGGTAGAATGGACATTTGAAAAAAACGGGTACATCAGTCTAACGTTTCCTGTTTGGAAAGGTTATGAAAGGGAGGTTTTTGTCGAATTTCTCAAAAGTTCAGGAGATATATTTGTTAAAACGAARCTATAGGGGAGGTTTGTATGACTGTCAGAAAATTCAGGGGAGGTTTTTGTATTTTACCCAAAAAATTAAGATGATAGTTATTTTGATCAAACAAAACTCTGGATATGTAAAACTTGCACAGTGAATATCAATACCTTGAACCATGACTACAAAAAGCATGGACTCGTTAGGGTAATGTTAGACTTGTGGCAAGATAGAAAACTAAATGCAGTGATTGATCGGTACTTATATCCAGTGTTTTCAAAATTGGACTAGACCGGATGGTCGGACCTGACCGGTTCTATTTCACCCCAAAACCGTCTTTTGGCCAAAAACCATTGCTTTGGTTAGTAAATCGCTGACCCAGTCTGTCGAACTGTCAACCTGAACAATGGTTTTTGGTCATTTTTTTATCAGAATGGGCCGTCCATTTAGACCGGATGGTCAAACTGTTCAACCTAAGAACTGGACCGAGAATGGTTCCCTGTCCGGTCCGATTTTAAAAACCTTGCTTATATCATACCTGGACTAGGATTTTGTTGATTTATTCTAATGGTGGAGAGCTTTTTCTATCGTTTTAACCTGCATTAGATTCACTACAGGCTATAGGTTCACAAAGCTACTTTTTAAGTCTTGGGCTCAAATGCTGCCTTTGCTTACGCCAACAAAATTCTCCAAAATAAACTATTATGCTCTATCCCCACAACCTACCCATCCTAGATGATGAATCTCCAGGCTCCCACCATTACTGCCCAGTATGTTTTTGAGTCCTTGGACTTGGACCATATGTTATTACGTAGAGAAGTTTTTCTTCAAACATCTACTTCTCATTTAAATTGTATCCATAAATATCCAATCCAATAATCCATGTAATCCAGTCAACTGACAGCCTCTTGCTTAAGATGGGTGCTTCAAGCCTGGTCAAGATCATCCGAGCTTACAAAGGTTGAATGGACAGTAATACATCCAAAGAAGACAATTGTTGTACACCACTACACTGTACAGGAGTAATCGGAAAGTATGAAACCTTGATAGTGAAAGCTGAAATTCCAATTTCCAAAAGCATGAAACCCTGATGATGAAAGTCGAAGCAACATCATTAGGCACCCCACCGTTAGGGCCGAAAAATATAATAAATGGGTGTGCCTTCACTGTCTACTTTTCCTTTCTAATAAGCAAAGCAAAACAAAAGCCCAGTTTGTTATTTCACATTGTCTTGTTGTAGACAAGTTGGGGTGTTGGGGACCCTACAGATTACTTGATGAACGGGTTAAAGGATCTCAGTGTAAAAGGTTTAAGCTGCAATTTGTTGTATGGGTGCCTTTTAGACTTGAAGAATATCTACCCAAATGGCCTTTTTATAGTAAAAGGGTTATGAATTCTTATTGAAGATTAAACTAATCGGAGGTCTAGTCTCTCCAAGCTAAGAAGAAGAAATGCCGAACTTTGGCATCCTTTCAATCGGAGAGTGTTTCGATGGATGCCGCAACCATAGTCAGTCCTCTGGACTGGGCACAAGGGTCTGGAACCTGACCGACAAGCCCTTAGAATTGCAGATAAGGGTGGGGTCTATATTGAAGAAAGGTCGCACCCTAAAGCCAGGATCTTCAAAGAGACTCAAGTGCAAGAGCATTTACAAGGCTTACATGCCGAGCAGTAGCAGCGGTGGTGGTGATGGGATGAAAAGCTTGCTCTATTACTATGACGAGACGTGCCACCCTTACGTGTGGATACATGATAGTGTGAGTGACTTCTCGAGGATGGTGAAGCAACAGTATATTAGTCTTGAGGACTTGAGGGACTGCTCTGAGATCAGGATATTCAGGGACCATCAGAGAGGTTGCATCTCAGTGCGCAAGAAACCAAGGCCAGATTTATGTTGATTGAATGTGAGTGGTGTTTTCATCTAAATATATGGTGTATTTTCCTTGGGAGTATGAAACAACCAATGGGATTTCTTGTTCTTCTTTTGATTTTTTTTTTGATATTATATTTCAAAAAATAAGATAAAAGGTTTTATGTTGTAACTTTGGTTCAGGTGTCTAGATTTCACAGGATTAATTGCAATTCTTTGTGATAAAGATTAAAGAATTGGTGCCATGCATCCAATTGTAAACCATCTCAGCTATTTTGGGCAAAAGAATCTGTTTATATTTCACCAACAATTAGATGATCACTCCTGAGCAATCTTTGCAGCAAAACACCATCTTGTCACCAAAATGTTCTACCGGTATTGAACTTTAATGCAGAATTTATTCTAGTTTTCGTGCACCTCTGGACTCTCATCTAATGAAAAATGGTGTTGATCGAGTCATGAATCACATAAAAGTAATTCATAATTTGCCTGTAAAATGCTTCATTAACAATCCTATCAGTATCAGAATGCAGATTGGTCCGACTGGTGGGATCCATCATTCAGCTGGACTCGAAAATCAGGATGCGCGCAGAAAAGACCATTACAAATCGATGTTTGAATAGAAGACAAGCCAATCATAGACCTGGGTTTGATCCCTCTCCTTTGTATTGCCCCTTTTCTGACCCATATTGAGTGGGGTTCTATCATCTATGAGAATGCTAACTTAGTTAAGGAARCTCAAGCTAGCAGCGCTGCTCCTATGGGCGTTTTGTTCATGTGGCTGCGAGGAAGAAGACAATTATACCAATGGTACTTTGGTTAATAAGAGAATTGCTGTTTGTCCTTCTTACCTGTGTAGCCATGTAGGCCCTGAGGCTTGAACTCCGTAACCGTAACACTTTTGCAACATTGACATAATTAACACGAGCAAAATGAAGTTGGGTACCAGCTGATTTGAGGAATTTTGATTCATAAATTGGACCCCTAGTCTTATTAATTTGCTGGGGCCAGCAACTTGAATGGGCCTCATCTGAGCCTGACCAGACGCAGCAGCGTAAGGGGTTGGGTTTGGATTTTCAGGCTTCCGACTGAACGTCGGCTTGAAAATTAAGATTGAACTTCAATTCAACTTGTACATGTTATATTTTTTAAATATACKAGTAAAATTTGTATAATGGTATTTTTATGCATTTTCATTCCATTTATAGATTGGGTTATAAACTCCAAATGACCTTAAAAACTTGGCAAACCTGCCCAAGCTTATTGGTTTGAAATGTGATCTAGTGGTGGGGGGAAGTAAGCTATTTTGATCTAAGCGGTTTTCTGAAACCGGATGACTTTTATTGGATTATTGAATGGGTCAATAGTTAAGAATTAATTCCAAAAAATGATGTTATGAAGGTTTAACCCCAAAGTAAAAATGATGTTATCAAGGCTTGACCCCCAAACTCTCTCTCTCTCTCTCTCTCTTTCATCTAAAACTCACTTTGAGTTTTCAGCATTTTTCTTAAACTCACCACAACTTTTCAAAATGTCTAAAACTCGTCATGTCACTAACTTGACGTTAAACAGACTAACGGTGTTAATATATTATCATTTTAGCCTTCATAGAAAAATATGAAATGTATACATATATATATATATATATATATATATATATATATATAT